ACTTTGAGCCATGATCGTCATCTCTCGGCCTCCTGAGTAGCTAGGATTGCAGGCTTGAGCCACCCATGTCTGGCTCAATTTGGTTCTTAATTGAGCTAAAAGTTAGGCTTGCATTTAAAGGGAAGAACATGAACTATGCAACTTGGGGGTGGTATGCAAGGGGAAAACTGGGAGAGAATCAGGGAAATGGTAACATTATTGAAAATTCTTTTGCCTGATTTATGTAACTATAGCCCTTCTGTTTAATAAAGATTTATTTTTTGTTTGCCAGTCCTTGGGCTTGAACTCAGGGCCTGGGCACTGTCTTTGAGCTTCAAAACTAGCACTCTACCACTTGAGCCACTGCGCCACTTCCATCTTTTTCTGTTTATGTGGTACTGAGGAATCGAACCCAGGACTTCATGCGTGCTAGGCAAGTGCTCTACCACTAAGCCACATTCCCAGCCAGATTTTTTTTAATATACTAAAAAAAGGGAAGATGGATTCTCACTTGAAATAAACATCATCTAACTTGATCCAGGCTAGAATAAAAGGCTTCACAATCGCCACAGAACTCAACTGTGTGTGTTCTTCAAGAAGAGAATACAGTGCTGTATGGTGAGTTGAAAACATCATTGACCTTCCTGTCTTGTGCTCTCAGATGAATTTGGATCTGAGTCTTGGTGTCTGGGGTTCCAGAATCTCGAGGCAGGGTGGTTCATGGGCATGGGCGTCCTGCTGCCTTACAGAAGGAATCCTGTTCAGTCAGTATGGCTCGGTAGAGTTATCATTGCAAAAGCAGAAGCGCAAAGGACCAGAACTCCTCATAGCTCAAACATGCCTCTCAGGCCAAAAGAAATTGCTTCAGAAGCCCTTTGTCAAAGAACATTATGTCAGTTCAACAACTGTATAAGTATTGGGGAGAAAGTGGCAAGCGTAAGGTTTAGCATGAAATTGGAGCTTCATCCTGTCACCGAGGGAAGTCAGGTACACAGCAGGGATTTAACTGTGCAGTGGTCTGCTGGCACATGTTGAAGAAGGCTGGGGCTGCTGGATGCCCGCAAGCTGTAGGCTGTCACGCCCTGCTGTCAATGCCTGTGAAAAGCCAGGCCCTGGTGGCACATGACTGTAATCCTAGCTACTCAGGAAGTTGCAATGTGAGGATTGTGGTCCAAAGCCAGCCTGGGGGAAAAACAAAAGGTCTGTGAGGCTCTAGTTAACCAGCAAAAAGCTAGAAGTGGAGGTATGGCTTAAATAGTAGAGTGCCAGCCTTGAACAACAATAACAAAAAAAGCCAAGCAAAAATGAAGAGCTGTGAATACAAGCCCCAGTACCAGCACTTAAACAGCAACAACAAGAGCCTATGACTCCCCTTTCCCCCCAGCTTGCAGTGAGCAGAGTCTGCATAGCGTGGAGAGGCTGTGGTGGGCACTGCCTTCTGTCATGAGGAGGAGAAGATATTTTACCCGCACTTCCAAGAGGGAGGCATGGTGTCAGAGGGAGTCACATGAGAGCTCCTAGGGCAATGAGGTCAGGTGGGGTCAGGTGGAGGCTGTCAGCCCCTTGGCTCCTTCATCTTCTGACAGCGCCCAGGGTGCAGGTGAGACTCCTTTCTCCAGTAGATGACTCAACTGTCTTAAAGTCTCCAAGTCATTTTTATGGGGATGCATACAGATTTCTGCTCACCATCCATTCTGTGTTCACTGAGTTTTCATTTGGTGTGTGTGTGTGTGTGTACGTACTGGAGCTTAGATTCAGGGGCTTTGGCTCTTGCTAGACCTCTTTTGTGTAAGGTTGGCACTTTACCACTTGAGTCGCACCTCCATTTTGGCCTGTTCTCCCGGGCTTAACTGGAGATAAGGGTCTCTGGTTTGTCTGCCTGCCCTGGCTTCCTGCCAGGATTCTCAGATCCCAGCCTCTTGAGTAGCTAGGATTACAGGCACAGGCACGAACCGCCAGCACTTTTGACTTGGTTGACCTTTTAAAACTCTTGTTTGTTTTCCTGAGGTGCCAATTTGGCCTCTCCTCGGAGTCCAGTTGTGAAGACTTTTCTCCATAACCCAAAAAAGCCATACTCAGGATAATTAGGTGGATAGACTTGCGAAGCCGTTCGATTTGAATAAAGTCCCTTATTCCTCCTGGAGGAGCTCAGAATGGGGCCAGGAGCCATGGGTGCCAGCCACACACCCTTCCTCCCTATGGGAGGTACCCCATGGAAGAATGTAAATGAAGAGACGGCACAAAGCACAGTGCATTTGGATGGGAATGAAGAAGCTCTTGCACTTCCTAGGATGGTGGCCAAACAGAGCTCCTTCAGAACACTTAATCCCTGTCCATTCTGGCAAACCATCCAGAACGGGCCTGGGCAGTGCAATGTGTAACATAGTCTTAGCACCATGTCTAGTGGATGCTGGCATTGCTTTACTGTTTGAGTTCTGATCAGTTTTCAGAAAAGTTTCAGTGTATCCATTGTTCCTATGCCTGTGTGTTTCCTTCCTTCCTTCTTCCCTCCCTTCTTCTCCCTCCCTCCCTCCCTCTCTCTCTCTCTCTCTCTCTCTCTCTCTCTCTCTCTCTTTCTTTCTTTCTTTCTTTCTTTCTTTCTCTCTTTCTGTCTGTCTGTCTGTCTGTCTGTCTGTCTGTCTTTTTGTTGGTCATGGTTCTTGAACCCAGGGCCTGGGCGCTGTCCCTGAGCTTTTGTGCTCAAGGCTAGCACTCTACCACTTTGAGTCATTTCTGGTTTTTAGGTGATTAATTGGAGGTAAGAGTCTCACAGGCTTTCTTGCCCAGGCTGGCTTTGAACTGCGAGCCTCAGATCTCAGCCTTCCTGAGTAGCTAGGATTACAAGCATGAGCCACCAGTGCCTGGCTAGGCTTCATTTTTATACCTGGGACAAATCTGGCTAAATATTCTCTTTTTTAAAAGGTTGCGGGGGAGGCGATACCCCACATTTGGTTACCAAAGTTCTTTGGTATAAGCGTATGCTTAAAACCAAGATCCTTTTTAAGGAGATACACTATTTTCAGCTATAATTTGCAAAGCCTCCATTTACTTACTTTTAGTTAGTTTAACCATGGTTGTCTTGAACCTAGAATCAAATTTTGCTCTTTTCATTTATTTGTTTTTTAAGTATTGTCTATATGGCTGTATAATCTTGGTTTTTGTGATGTTTTACTGTCTAATAGAAATGTTATAGTCAGCTTATCTATGTCCTGGATCAATCGTTTTTATGATTATAAATACTTTGAGTGGACTGTCACCAAACTCCCCCTCCCCCGTGCGATAGTCGATGCTATTTCCTTGAGCTAGACCCTGGGCGATTGCTTATAGAGAGGATGAATGTGCTTCAGCGCAGGGCTTCGCTCCACTGTGACATGGAGATTCTGACTCAGTAGCTAGATCTGGGGTAGGACTGACAGTCTCCATTAGCGACAATGTCCTGCACGGTACTCAAGGTGACGCTCCAGCTCCAGGCCGTCTCTTAAAGTTGTTGGTGTCACTGGCATCCAGAGAAGATGAGCTGTGGCACCTGCTTCCACACAAACCCTCCAAGACCAGTCAAGGCTGCCATTATAACCCCCTGGCCAGCTCAGATCCTCACGCGTGTATGGACACGCCCACAAATTCATGCACATGTGCAGACATACCATGTGGGAGCCACACTAATCCAGGGACCACTCCAGAACATGATAGACTTACGTCTGGCAATGGAAGCTAGCTGCCAGTAGTTTTTTTTTAAGTTTTCCAGGTATTAAAAATAACTTCCTGTGTAGTCAGGACCGAGTGCCATTGTTCATTGCCTTCAGAGACCGATCTTAACCCTCACTCAACTCCCAACTTATCCTTTTATCAGAATTAGTTCCTTTTCTTTAATGGATACAATATTTGCACCTATTTATGGGGTAGTGTGATCACTGACACTTGCATACAGCATTAGGATCAAGTAGGGATAATTAGCCTTTCCATTTTCTCACATATCATCTCTGTGTGAGGATCCTTTGGCTGTCCACAGCTCCACAGCTGGTTAATTGGAGATAAGAATCTCATGGACTCTTCTGGTTGTTTTGAAATATATAATGACTTGCTTTAGACTCCAATTATCCTACTGTGTCATAGAAAATTAGAACGAATTCCTTCTATATCACTGTATTTTGGTACATGTTAACCAAGTTCTGTGTCTTTCCTCCTCCATGCTGCTCTTCCTAGCCTCTGGTGATCACTACTCATCTCTCTTCTATGAGATCAGATTGTGAGCTTACACATACATGCACGAGTGAGAACATGTCGTATTTGCCTTTCTGGGCCTGGCTTATTTCACTGAACAGGTGTCCTTCCATCCCATCCATGTTGATGTGACTGAGAAGCTCAGAGATTACCTCTGCTACACTTTCAGCTATGGATTTGGCACCACCATGGGTTGTTGTGATTCTAAAAAAGAATCTCTCCTAGGAGAGAACATACGTTTGTCATGATTGGCTTTCCCATCAAGCCAACTCCTCCAAGGCATTTGCCAATACAATCATGGTTGACAAAGGCCACCACTATGTACCAAAAATCTGGGATGTATTCTAGACCCCTGGGATGTATTCCAGACCCCTGCCTTATTCTTTCCCTTGAGATCTAAGTAGCTCCACCTTTAGTGCTAGTATAGAATGCAGTACTTTAGGTTAGAATTCTCTACTGGCATGACCATGCCCTTCAGACCTGGAGTCCTTTGAGAAAAGAGACAGGTCTGACGCACTTGGCATCGTGCCTGCCTGTTTACTTAGTTGATACCCATCAAACTTGTTGAGTGAATGAATGAATGAACTAGAATAGGCTTTGATCGTGTGCAAGCCTGAAAGGTTATTCCCACAGATGAAAGATACTCCAGTGTGGTTCTAAAAGGTGCGTAGACTATCTCAATAGTTCCTGGTACCATCATGGCTTTGGCAAATAAAGATGGCAGACAAGATGTTCAGGACACCCTGAGGCCCTTCCACTCAGCACCTGCTAGACTAACACCTGTTGTTTCTCTTTGGCAGTTGCCTTTTCAGGCCTTGGTTTCACGACGTTCTACTTGGCGGGCAAGCTCCACTGCTTCACTGAGAGTGGACGGGGGAAGAGTTGGAGGCTCTGTGCCGCCATCTTGCCCTTGTACTGTGCCATGATGATCGCTTTGTCCCGCATGTGTGACTACAAACACCACTGGCAAGGTGAGTCCCTTCCCAGAACCTGCCCAGTGCTGGGAGAGGTCCAGTCTCCTTCTCCAGGGATGCGTGTAGAGATGGGTGGGGCTGGGGAGAACTGAGCTCCCACTACCAGAATCCAGAGTGGGCTGAGATGACAGAGTGGATGTAGTTTGGAGCAGACATGCCTGTTTGTGTGAGTTCTGGCCTTCAAGCTGCCCATATTGGAAAAAAATAGAGCTCTTCTTTGTCCTCTTTTGTGCTTGATGTCTATCAGAATGTCAGGCCTTCAGTGTGGAGTCACCCTGGGCCTCAGACCCACCCACAGGTGATTTCCCGGCTGGGTCTATCTTCAGACCTGGCCCATCTCCTATGGCAAATCCAACCCAAAGGGTGTATTTCTCACTATGGCTGCTGTTTCAAGGGATGTATTTGTTAAAATTTAAATCACAGAAAACAAGTGAGGAGCTTGGTCCCGCCACAACTGCAGCTTACAGTCTGCCTGAAAAACAAACATCTCTGCCCAACACACAGGAAACAGACAGAAGTGTCGGCCACGGGAAGCATGGCCTCTGGGGCAGCAGGTGTTAGGGCAGTGTTTCCCAGAGGACTGTTTACAGATCATGATTGGGCCGCCCTGATCTAGGAGCTGGATCGGGTCAAGAGTTGTACTGCAAGGGTTGACTTTAAACAAAGCCAATTAAGTTTTTCTACCCTAGCTTGTCAGGAAGCATGCACTTCCACAACCAGCCTGAGACTCAGCCCCCCCCCCCCTTCCTTCCCCGTGTCCCTCTCCTCCTCATTCTAGTTCTGCAGCTAGCTGGCTGCTTTCCTCACCTCCTATGCCTCCTCCCCGCCTCCTCCAAGTTCACTCAAATGGTAGAGAAACAACAGAGGCCAGAGGGGAGGGGAGTTCCTCATGGAGATCTTTTCTCCCCATCTTCTCTGAGGGGTTTCACACTATCCAGGTCCCAGCCTCAGGTCCACCCTCCTCCCTTCTAGAGCTCACCCCCTTGGAAGTCCCATGCCTCTAGCAGGGTGTGGAGAGATGCCGCCACATGGTTTGGTATCTGGGTACCCAAGCACCAAGTGCTGACCAGTGTGTGAGGTCCCCGGGGAAGGTGGGTTAGGCGAGACCTGCAGGGCTGTGGTCATAGCTCCCCCGCCCCCTACTTTGCTCCTTAGTTTTATCAGTGATTTGGATAAAGTTCTTGGATGAAGGCTCCTCAGAGGAAGAAAGGAGGGAGGCACTGAGTCAACAGTAATGAGGACATTTTTCCACGGTAGCATGGAGCCAGGACTACTGTCCCATAGGGTCCTTATGGTAACCTAGGGGAGTGGAAGGCATTTCCCCAGGAAAAGTAGCATGGACCAATGGTCTTGCGTGCGTTGAGTATCCTGTATTCCTGCCAACTTCAGGTTCTTCTTTGAGCACAGGAATGAAAATCTCTGAATATTTCACAAAGCTATTTTATAGATTGAATGCCATAATGTAGTGTGTAAATGAGAATGCAATTCAGAAGTGCAAATTGGAATCACCATTGCATAACGCATCTAATGCATCATTTGTAAGGAAGGACGTCTTGTGTTTTCCAAACAAATGACTTGGTGGCAGGTGCTGTCCTGTTGGGTAGGAATGCTGGGTTTTCATGTGTACAGTACTTGCCCACTCTGGTCTTGGGAAATGATTCCAAATTTCAGAATTAAGTACATTTGTTTTCCTTTGTCGTGGAGATTGGGAAGAATCTTTGCATTAAGATCTTGTCCTCACAACTTTAAGACATGAGTTTGGCTGCTCTCGAGAGCTCTATGGCTCTAGCTGGTTTTGTCACCACTGCCCGATGTGGCTGTCCTGGGAGAACTGGCATGCAGCTCTTGGCTTTGGGGATGGCTGGAGTCATTATGAATAAGAGCAACCAAGCCCTACTGACAGCGCCTGGGGTTCCCAAACCTTTCTGTCAAAAAGCTACACAAGAGAGATTGGAGCAGTAGAGAGGAGACTTGGAATATTCCATGGGAAATGCCAAGCAAGAGAGTGGACGGTCAGTGATTTGCAGGGCCACAGTTTAGGGGAGGGAGATAAGCCAAAACACTGTGTAATGGTAGACTTCTGTAGCCAACCTGAACACGTACCCATCTGTGTAGGTCATTGCATGGTCCAGGTACCAGCTGCTCAGTTTGTACCCCTGACAGTGGGAGAAGAGCTTGCCTTCCCCTGGGTCCTCAGACGGACACAGGGAGACTCATTTTACCTACACTATCTTCCATTCCACTGTTGCTTTTCTCTCGGGTCGACGGGGTGGCTAGATATCTAGGATGATTATCAGCATCTGTAGACAGCTTTCTGCTTGTCTCAGCTTTGGGAATGTTAAATATCCTACAAAGCACAACCCGGCTCCTTCCCCCCACCACGTGAACACTGCCAAAGTTGAGAGGCTGATGTCTACAACGCGCCTCAGCTCCATCGCTCTTCCCCTGGTTCTGTGTTAAGGCACAGCAGTGTTCTGGAATGGGGAACTTCACTCATTCAATGCTCAGTAACTAAGGGAGGCACGGAGGAAGCCATCAAGGTTTCCTGCCTGGCAAAGGGATGGACAGCAGGACCTCCCAACTGCTGCGTAGGTGCTGTGTGAGGCAGGGCTCCTGATTGAGACAAATGGCCTGTTTTCCTTTGGTGGACGCAGCTGCCCAGAGACTGCGGGCGGGGCATCCATCATGAGGGAGATCCGTGTGTAGCCCCGAAGACATCAGCAAAACCCACACTGTGCTCATTATCAACCTCAGTGAATGACATTAATATTATGTGATTTTGTGACTGCATTTCAATGGATTTAAGCCACAGTGCCAAACATGAAAATAGTCATTGGACTACATAGTCACACTCAGCAAATAGCCCATATTCTCAGAAGGCCGGCCCTGATGGTCATGTTTTCTGTTCTTTCTGCCTTCCCAGTCTACTCCAGGTACACCAGTGTGTTATTTTATGCAGGTAACTATAGTAGAGAGGGGCATATGAGATATTTTGTGAAGCTCTGCCCTCCCCCCCAAAAAAAACCCCATATAGAGCCAATCTAGATCAGTTCTCCTGCGGCTGATACTCCTGTGTCATTGTGCCATGCTGGCTTTCAGTTCACCAGGAAGCTGGAGAATTTCATCCATGATCCTCACGCAAAGCCCTGAGCCTCGCAGCACAGCTTGCCTTTGTGATTAACTCTAGGTTTGTTGGTTTGTTTGTTTTTTGCTACAACGCAAGCATGCTAGAGAATATAAATGCAAAAAAGAACAGAGCACATCCAGAAACCAGTGTCTGCCTCTCCTGGCACTTAGCGTGGTTACGGTTTTCAGCCAAAGTGGGGAGTCCCAGCTGGGAACGCCCACCATAGGGCATAGTGAGCCCCCCCCACAGGCTGGGTCCCCCACATCCAGATCCAGTCCTCTCTCATGGATTGTGAAACTTGGTAGTAATCTTTCAACCAACACTAGTTTCTTGAATCACTGGTCAGCTCAGGCAGCTTGGGACACCTGGAGTTGATTGATCAGGAAGAACATCTACCTCTAGATGCAGCACAGGAAAATGGGTCTCAGGGAAGAAAGCATTCATTCCCACCAAGGCAAAGGCCGGAAAGCATCTGTGTCCCTCACAAACACAGCTGTCGCACATGAGGGCTTTCAGGATGGCTGTCATTGTCTTCTGCTCGCTTCCCTGACTGGGCGTTGAGGACTGAACAGGAAGAAACGCACATACCAGTCACAGACTTTAGGAGAGCATTAGTCTTGGAAGTGTGGGTGTTTGGGGAGGCTGGACAATGTCTTGCACTGAAGTGTGTGCCCCAGAAGGTTTTCATGGCTGGGCATAGTGGTGCACACATGTGGTTCCAGCCAGTCAGGAGGCAACAGTTGGAGGCTCCCAGTATAAGGCTGGCCTGGGCAAAAGGAGGAGATCCTAGCTTTAAAATAAAAATAAATGCAAGAGAATGGGGATGTATGGCTTCGATGGTAGATTCCTTGCTTAGCAGGTATGAGGCCCTGAGTTCAAGACCATACTCCTTCCCCCATCCTCAAAAAGAAAAGATTGTGAGCTTCACAATACCCAGCAGAGGCTGTGTCCTCTGGGAAGGCTCTTTCATCAGACGTGATGGCATTCGGCGTGTCGCAGTTCTCCTTTCCCTTCCCCTCTGTCTCAGCTCTCTGTCTCTCTGTCATCTTTTGCACACACATGGAACACAAGAGAATCTTGCCCAACCTGGACTTTGGGTAGCAGATCGCTTGGTTCCACATAGAGGAGGGCATTCTCTTCTCAGCATCTTGTGGTTTTTCGTGTACAACACACTTCCGTAATTCACCCTCCTCTCTCTACCCTGGTCCTGTGAGCCTCGCGCCTTGCCTGAAGTACTGCAGATGCCTGCCAGTCTGTCTTCTTCTTCCTTGTTGCCCTCCTCCCTGCAGCCAGAGGAAGCCTTTAGAGCTGACCTGCAGTGGCCTGCGAGGTCCTGTCCCTTGCACGGATGCCTGCATAGGTAGGCATGTTCCTTGAACAGGCCAAGCCCATCCCACCCTGGGGTCTTTGCACCTTATCCTCCTGGTACCCAGAATGCTCTTCTCTCCCATGTGGGCATGGCTTATTCCCTTTCCTTCCCTAATCTTGGTTTGTGAGTCATCTCCATCTGTGACTACCACTTCACTTAAATGGCCACCCATCCCTCACACCCTCTCTCCCTCCTGTTGCTCATTGTCTACCTTCTAACTTCGTTGCTGAGGGCCTGCCCCATCCACTAGCAGACTTTGTAAGTGTCTTAGGTTCTCTGTGGCCCTAGGATTTCAGTGGTGACTGTAGTATATGAAAGTGGCTACAGATAGTATGCACATTCACACTGGGCTTCTGTCCTGGAATATAGTCACAGATATGTTCAGGTCTCATTGTTGGCAGGGCCCAGGTCAGGACCGTTCCTAGTTTCCTATGACTACCATAAGGTAGTACTTAAAACTAGGTGGCTGATGGCTGAGAAGGTGCTTAGTGGTAGAGTGTT